ATAAAAGTTGATAGCAACCCTCCTGCATTATTGGTTTAGGTACGCGATTTGCCGACACGGCTTTTTATTTGGTCGGAAGAGATTTCGGAGAAGGTATAGGATTATATAGCACTGTGAAGTCTAAACATACATTGACATTTACATCTTTTTTTAACTATTATAATGTTGTTGTTGCAGCTACTCTTGTTCACACTGGCACAGGACAATAATTTTGGCGAGTGCAAACGGAATCCTAAACCCATAAATAGGCTTAAGACCAATTGCTGCCTTCTTACGACTTCAGTCTAAAAGCACTGCTAAGAGTCCCAAGGTACGGCGGAATTACGTCACATTGAAATGGGACCGGATGGGACTTTAGTAACATAATATAATATTTACTTCGTCCACAAAACATTGATATTATTTATGTATAGTGTAACAGAACCACTTGGGCATGTAAATTTAAATGCAAAGAAGAATAATAGCAGTAGTGGAAGAGGAACGTATCTATTAATTATTACAGTGACTGAAATTTACATCATGAAGGTAGTTATTAGTATAATAACTAAAAACTTCAATGATTTCTTTTAATTATTAAAAAATAACTACAGTTGCTTCAATCATTTTTCAATTAAAATTCCAATGCATTTGTTAGAAAGGGCAGCGAAGTATTTAGATTAATTTTCTTAATAAGAAATGCCGGACTCAGAATGTTGAAGACCAATTTATAATCTTCTCTATCTTTTGCTGCCATAATAAAGCTTAAAACAATGTGAGCTTGTAATATTTTATGTATAATTTTAAAGGAATTTACTATAAAACCCAAACCCAATGGAACTTGCAATGCGCGAAATTTGGGGTGTGGTAGGATTATACTTTGCTTTAATGTTAGGGTTGATTACCCTTTGGTTATCGTCAAGGGAAATGTACAATGTTCGTGTACAGTAGCTGTGGAATTTAATTATAATGGTAGTTTTGCACTCGCGCATTTAGGCTTAATAATACAAAGATATATCTTCACTACGTAGTTAAATAAACTATACCATGAATACAGATTATAATGAGTTAGTTGTGGATGAACTTCTGGGTTCTGATGTACTCTGATTTTACAGAACACGGCAATAAAAAAATATATATAATTACTACTGATAATCAACCCTACTAACACATGGCAATAAAAAAAAAAATGGGACATGTTTAAGTAAAAGAGAAAGTTTTTGTAACATAATAGTATTTGTACGAATATCTGTATAAGTATAGAAAAAAATATATAGATTTATTATTATATATAACCTATAACTGGACTAAGGAATGAAACATTAATTCTTCTCAAATTTCTTTCTTACTGATTTACAGACTTCTTTTTCATTCACCAATGGGAACACAATTCTTTCATATCCTATTAATATTATTAACCCGAAAGTTTGTGAGTATGGATGTTTGTTACTCTTACACGCAAAAACTACTGAACGGATTTTAATGAAATTGTACAATAATATAGCTTATACATCAGAATAACATAGGCTATAAATTTTACGCGGCTCGTACTTAATAACTCCATAGGCTTTTTTTATGTATGTTTTAGACTATTTTCATATAAATTATGAACAAATCAAACTAGTTTATGGAATATCCAGGTGAATCATTCGCTTCTGGCACGCTATGGTTGTAAAACTCGTCCTTGAATTAAGTGACAGTCGGTCACGATACTGCATTGAATATTATGAGAGTAGGTAGGTAGGTAGTTACCTACCCTTGTTTTAGCTTGGATAGTACACCATTACGACTGATATCCCCGATGGGGTAGACAGATGCATTGTCGACTGTTGATGTAGTGGTGAATAAAATACTTGACATTTGCATACATCACTCTGTATATTCGAATTATAGTTAATTCGCTATTTATTAAATACAATGTGTATTCAAAAGTATATAATTTTTAGAGCAATAAATACCAAAGAAGGTTTATACCCTTAAACAATTTCTCTTACACTTGAGTAGAGAAGACAGAAGGTGGTGGCTAAGTAGTATATATATGGAAAAACAAAGAATAGTATATAATAATAATAAGAATAATAAATAAATCATGTAATATATGTATATTACAGTATATTTACAAACACAATATATAAAATAAGCTACCTATACCTACTCATAAATATGTATCCATTACGATACTGTACCAAACTATAACCAGAACCCATACTATAAGTATGGGTTCTGGTTAACCGAAAGGCCCTCTTTTGTAAAATAAATATTGTATTTATATCAGCTGCTTTGCCCCATAACAAAATACCATACGACATAATGCTATGGAAATAGCTAAAGTAGACAAGTCTAGCCGTTGCCATGTCTGTTAATTGTCTAATTCTTCTTACCGCATAAGCGGCAGAACAAAGTCGACTCACCAATAAAATAGACCTTAATGGAATTTGATGTGAAGATACATGAGGGCAGACATAGGCTGGTAACAGCTAGTCATTTTACAGAAGACATATGATGTCAATGACCTCTAATCTACGCTACTACAAAACACCAGCCAACGCCTACAAATTAAAATATTACTATGAATTGCGTAAATATTACATTTGCGTGTTTAAATTATTTCGCGAGGTGTTACGACCACTCCCGTGTTATTTCGTTTTAATTGTAATTGAAGTAATGCGGAAATGTCATGTGATTTGTCTGGTTTTACTGTACTTGGATATTGATATGAATACTGACCATGAACGTAGCGAACTCTTTGATACACTATTATTATTATTATATTATACTTAATACAATTATTGTCTGAAAATCCTTATTACTGCATTTCCATATCATTATACATATATCGTTGTTGTATTTATTTCATCCGTTAATTGTTTCTATATACTTCATAATCTAATCTCATAAGATCTATAAAACCCTCCCTGGGGTACTGTGGATTATCAACAACTTTCGATAAATCAATTTAATTGAATAAAATCTCATGCAATAAATTATAAATAATTATGAATTAATTCTAAATCTAATGGGGGATTTTTTTTAATTTGGCGTAATAGTGAAAGCGTCAACGCTGATAAAATCCATAATCTAGTCTAGAGGCTAAAAAGGAGTATATGCTCTATGTATTCCTTTAACGCTACATATCAGACATCCCAATTAGCTTATAACTGTATATTGTGAAATCGAAAATCTCTGATAATCATATACTACATGTAATTATAGTACAAAAGTATTATTCCACAGGATGTCACATGAAGTGGAAGTAAATTAATAATGAAAAATGAGTGTAATAATACAAACTTCCAACTATATACTATCTAGAATACTACATTACTACGATTAATACGAACGTCCTGATATATTATCAGGAGACAGTAGTCTCCAGTAGTGAAATGTTAATAGTTTTATGAAGTAACAAACTGTAATACAGTAATGTTAACTGATATATTTCAGTACCTTGTCATAGTGACTTTTTAAATATACAGTTTAGAATTTGTTCAGCAGATCGTTGATAAATTCTCATTAAATATTCTATTTATCCTCGAAGCTTACCTAAAGAGATTGCTTTTTCACGTAATGTTTACTAGTTTTAGGTTATTATTAGGTATTTATATATAGCCATCGACTAAAACTTAATTAATTCGTGTAAATTAAGTTTTAGTCGATGTGTCTATGTTTTTATTACGATACCGATTTTAATACAATTTTATTAACGAAACGTATTTTTGATGTCATAAAAACCTTTGCTGTCATAAAAAAGGTTAGGTTAAAATAGCCGGCAACTTATTACCTGAATAGTATGGAACTTTGGCATTTAAATGATAGAAGTAAGGAGGTGCGGTCGATGTCCACGCATTATCAAGGCCGCAGGCTTGTGTTACGCAGAGATATCTCTCGTGCCCACCCCATATTGATATTTAGTATACCTACACCTATATGTATAACATTGTACATATATAATAACTATGTATGACAAAAATTTTATCAATATAGGCATCACGCGGTACCTCAGTGTTACCTATTTCAGCCGCCTAGCAACTTTGTAAGCTGTGTAAGTTTTCCATTGAAGAGTGCCATGAGACAGTGAAATTACAAGATAAGGATAACATCTTAGACCTCTGGAATGGCAATGCATGTGTGGTATCAGGGTTGTCACATGAGAACGTGATAAGTATAAAAGGTAAAATTATAAAGGTATATGAAGGTAGGTAAGCAAAAATGAGACAGTGGTTAGACAGCGTTTCTTAAGATCAGTGGTAATAGAATCAGGGATCCGCAGTGGCTAAGTTAACTCTAAACATAGAAGCAAAGTTTTCAGAACATCTTAAAACTGTCCACCCTGGGAATATCTGACAGCTTTGACATGTTTATTTCGTCTATGGAGCTCTTATAAAATGAGTACGTGACTGCAAAAATTATAAGGAAACCTTATGCATGAGCACATTGCTACTTCTGATCATTTTAGTTCCACAAAAGACGACAGATGGTGAACAAACTCGACAGAAGCACAAGTGCTCTCGTAATTTTTGTACGCACTAGTCATTATATGTAGTTGGTACACACGTGTACTGAAAAAAGTTTCGCAGTGCATTATGTAAGGACCCATTAATGGAAGTACCGTATTGTTAGAAAAAAAAAGCTCCTATTAATAGTGTAGATATCTTATTGATTTAAGGTAGTTTTGTCTTATTGGGGTAGTTGTACTGAAGTATATTATTATCTAAAAATGAAGACATTTGCGTAGAAATATTGATTTTTTTTGTAAACTTGACTAACTTGGGTCATTTGCACCATATGGAGGATGCAGATTAAGGGCTCGGCGAAAACCCCTGTGCCCCGGCTTCTTCTCTGGGGACAACAGCCTACAATGTCTTGATCCGCTGGGTTTCTAAAATTATATCTTATCTAAACCTAAACTTATGTACTAGGCGCTGGATTTGGAAGACCGCTGTTATTTTTGGCTTTTTAAATACTTAACGATAATTGCTTAATTAACTTAACGTTAATTTAATAGGCAATCAGTGTCTACTAACATTGATCTTGTTTTTGACCCGTTCTATCGCTTTGGAGTCTTCTCGTTCCGGGCTGAGTTGGCAGACTCTAGCTCGCCAGTCGTTCGCGCCGGCTGCCTGCAGAGCTGCCAACCTGCAAAAATAAAAAATAAATTGCTTATTATAATGATACATAGTGCAATGTGGGTTATAAAGATTTCACTTTATAAGATTGTATATAGGTAGGCACTTCTTTAAAGGCCCATTAAAACAACATTGCCCTAGCTACGGACTTGGTATTCAATTCACTAAACATATACTGATAACGGAATAGTGTTAGGTTTTCATAAAATAATCGTAGATATACATAACAATACTAGATGATGCAGGTACGTAAGTAAAAGGGAAATCTGATTTTAATAGAAATTGATTTAATAAAACCCATTAAGTACTAAAATCAAATAATAAATCATTAAGTTATAACGGCTCTCTTCAAAGTATTATATGACCATAATACTTTGAAGATAGCCGTTTAAAATTATATCAGAACACTGTGCGCAAACATGATCGAAATAGAAAACAATTCAGAATTTTATATCGTTGATTGACTAGAACTTTATCATAGTGATGAAAATATTGTAGACATTCATAACAGGTTTTATACCACTTATTTACCTATATATTAATTACAGTATCTATCATTTTTTTTTATAATTATCAATAGTTATTATATATTATAACATACAATATTATAATAATAACAATTTTCCCTATGTTGATCCACAAACAAAGACATTTTCTGTGAATTTGTCATCCTAATTCCTAAAAAAATTAACAGACAGACAGTATTTACCTCGACATGAATTTACGATTTATTTTATATGTGTATGTGTCTTAGTAATAATAAAATAAATATATGAAACCAATACTTTAGTCGGCGTCGTTAGCTACAAATTGATTTACAAAAGATTTCCGATGGACAGTACTAGAGGAAGTATTGTTGTTGATAGAATAAATGCGTCGATAAAAATATGTAGGCAACGATCTCTTATCTGTTATGATATCATCATCCTGCCTTTATTCCATGTAATTTGGGACCGATATATTTATTTAAAATACGATTTAATTACTTGTAATAACGTGTAGAATATAATTCAAAATAATTAATAAACAAAAATGTAAATATGAATTCATCAATTTCTTTATAGTTTGGCTTGATAATTAAATTAAGTGCGCGAAATTGCGGGGGTGGGCTAATATGTACCATATTAGCCGACCCGCGCAATATTCATCTACATTACAATATCCCTATTTTTACAACATACTGAAATACTGCATAGCAATTTAAATCAGTATGTATATTTTTCATTGCTTCTGTATCTGTTCCTATTGTTTGTAGTCCGAGTCATAAAAAGTACCTAATATACTAAAATTTTTTGAAATTGTTATGGAAAAACTACAACGCAGTGGTCATTTAAAATAAAATAAAAATATGACATAGTCATTAGAGAGTTACAATGAATCAATAGAATGTAATAGATTAGGAATTCTTTTGTCTGTTCGTAGGTTTAACTCATTACTTCTAATGACTTTAAGATAAGATATCAATGTTTGGAACCCAAGCATTATGCTCCATGCAAATTAGACGAGTCTGGGAGAATCTGACCGAGTCATAGACATTCATGAAGATTAAAAAGTCCAGACGAATCAATTTCAATTGACCTTTACTTTGTAGCAACATGAACATCTAAGCTAAGCTTGTTTAGAGTAATCTATACACAGAACAAAAATGTAACTTATCTCTGTCTGTACATAGATGATATAGGGGAAAAACTAGTTTTGATTGATAGAATTTATATGCCAAACGGTTTACAAAATTAAAAAAGCTCATACAAAACTGCGGGCTCAATTGGTTCGACTAAATTCTTCATTATACGAAATATACTTCGATTGTGGTTATTTCCTTGTATTCTAAATAGGTCAGATTACAGATACCATTTTCAAAACTTAGTACCTACTATGTCTAATGTGATGTCAGTTTGTTATAGACTATATCACATTTGTTTTAACGTTTTATTTTATAAAATTTAGGAAAACACTGGTCTGAATTAAAAAAAATAATTACAACATCAACTCCTTACACAAAGTTCTGCATTTATGAATATGTAGGTATGACTTGCATTTATGAGCATGTATTAATGCAGAACTTTGTGTAAGGAGTTAATGTTGTAATTATTTTTTTAATTATATGTACAGTATCCAACTTATATCTTATAATTTGGATACTGTACATACAGTGCAAGATATGTATATATATGACAGTGCAGTGGAATACACTTTTGAGTTTAAAGAATGTGATATTTAATCCATATTGATATAATATTAAAACCAAAAAATGTAACTATTTATCTGTATTTTTTTATTACATTTTCACTACTGGATGAGTTAATGAAATTTGTCAAGTTAGAAAAATATGTAGGGCGCTAGAATCACTGCTATCCGCATTATTAAAAAATATAGCATGGTATAATCGGGAGTACTATTGTGATAACCATGAACTCTAGTTCAAGCTCAAGGCACATCGTACTCTATTGCGATTCTTTTTTTTTAAGTATTATACAGGGTGAATTTTAGTATGTAATAATATAAGAGTATAGTATTGTCAAAAATATATTCTACCTTTCTGCAATGGTGCCCCCTCTGTGCGGCATATCGGCATGCGTCGCGCTCCGTTGGACCCCGCCGCCCAACCTGCAAACAATCCGAAAAACACACGTGAATTATAGACAACTTGTCGATACCTGCCATTTCGGCTGTCTGACTGGGATATATTGATTGTCTGTTTATATTCTAGAGGCACATGAGGTCGATAAAGAAGAAGCAAATGTTTAAAATATCTGAACAATCAATATTTGTCCATTACAAATTATTAAAATATGATAGCGTGTTCAATGAGAAAGAATTTTCTTCTTTTTTTTTCTTAAAAAAAAAAGAAATATAGTACAATAATTCATTTGATTAATAAAAAAAAACTAGAGTAACACATAAATATTTTTTACCGTTTTAATTTTTAGTTACTACAATTTATCATTAATTGTCTGAATAATACTGATTATTTTTTTAAATAAAAATATACGACACATTTTTCCAGTAATATTAAAAAGTACAACATATAATGAAGTTAATCAAACCCTTTTTGAGACGACTGTTTTTTAACACAAATCTTCTTGTTTACATTCTCATGACTGAAAATTACAAACGCATACAATATAATATGCTTTCTAAATGTTATCCTAATTCGAGATAACAGTGATGACTCGTATAGATTAAACATTTCTTTGAAACCGACCTACGCTGTTATCTTATCTGAACTTATTGTGATTTATGCAGTTTGTAAATAGATATTGTCCCTTTCTTAGGTTATCATAAGTACATACAGTTCACGACAGACTAGATGAAAGTAAAATTAATATAGATAGATAGAATATACTTTATTTGCAACATACAATAAAGAAGAAGCACAAACAATATAACAAAGGACACATGTATCGTTACAATAAGGCGGCCTTATTGCTAAAAGCAATCTTATATATTACATTATATTAGATAATTTCATTTTATAACTAGAGTTTACTATAGGACAAAAGTTATACTAAAAAAAAGTTATACTTTTTTATATTTAACAACAAAACATACAATTTTGTATATTATTTGTATATTATATGGCGTATATGTTATTCTGTAGATATAAAATAATATATAATATTTTGACATCATAAATATGGAATAATGATTCACTTACTATAATTAACAGTAAAAAAGCATTATTTTTAATTGGTATAGAATAATGTAATTAAATTTGCTATATTAAGCAAAATACCTTTATGTCACTTCGATACGAAGGAAATTACCACCCTCTTGATTTTTATTTCTTTCATAGAATTCTAGATTTAATTAAATCTGAATCAAATATTTTTGTATTATAATGTTGTTTAATTAATTATTAATCGGTTTCTTTTTCTGTACAGTATGTTATCGAACCAAATTCTGCTGAATTAAGTATATAACTAAATAATTAATACATCGTTATTACGTTTATACGTAAATCTATATTATTCTGAATAGGCATTGACTATTTTCATTGGAACAGGAAACTATTAGAGAAATACAAAACGCATCATGCGTTATTTTGGTCTATGTATCATTTGATTGAAACCTAAAGTTTTAAATTAAGTTAAAAAATAATGTAAAATATACCCATATTTTTATACATTTCGTGTATCAGGAACAAAATGGCATATTTCAAACCACACGAGCCTATTAATAACAAGGAACATTACAAATAAATTAATGTATTTTACCTGGTATCTTCAAATTTCTCTCTGAGAGATTTGAAATTGAACAATCTCTCTTCAAAAGGTCTCAACGACAGCATCTTGACTTTATTATAAAATTGATATTTTATTCTCTATATGACTTATGATTTTATAAAATCACTCAGTCTTGTTATTAAATTTACTACAAAATATTAAACAATTAAAATTAGAAATAAAAAAATGGTTATTGTGAACTATTGGCACCGCATTCTGCCACAATGAGCGATTTGTTGACACTAGACAACTGTCACTGATTTTGTTCCGTCCACGTTCATTACACGACTGAGCCTAGCTGGACTACTGTTACAAATATTACTCAAATAATGGCACGTTATCCTGATCATTGTTATTGTACATGTGTTGTAGTCAAGTAAACAATATAATTATTTATGTACAAAGAATAAGGTTTAATTTGTTTGTAAACAGGTTCATTAGGATAGAGTTCAATATGTTGTATACAAATTGTTAAGTATTCTTATCAAATGGCATATATATAAAAAAAATATACATTTTGTAATAATTTAAGAAGTGGTAAAGTATTTTATTTTCTTTATTGCGTATTTTATACTACAATTCGCAGACATGTATAACATATAAATTCTTTCCTCTTTATTAAATTGCTTTAAATTAATAACAAATGAACAAGCGACTTATTTTATTTAATAACTTATTATTTTGATTCGTTATTTATTCTTCTATTGACATTATTATAGTATTTCTAATATATTGACTCCGTTTTTGTAAATATATAAACCACGTTGGTTAAAACTAAATTAGAAATATATGTATTTTATATTTTAATACTAATAATACTATTACAATAAACTACAAATATTATTACACAAAAAGCAAACATCAATTTTGATTATAATGTTTATTAGCATAGTTCCAACAGTAGACGTTTTTTTCCATTAACAGACTCCATCAATATCAGCTCAAAATTAATACATAATCATAATATGTGTATTAAGATAGATTCTAAAATAATCACAATTTTTATTATTGTGCATAAACCTTCTTTTTTAGAATTGGTAAAGGATATTATAATGTTAGATGTATGCCTGACTTAGTAAAGTAACAAAGAGAACAGTTCAACGACGATAAAAACGCAGTTATCTGTGTAATTAGGCGTTACAGTTAGTCGGTGAAGAAATTACTTCCGACTGATAATGAGCCTGAATGTCAACAACGAAAGAGAAATAAAGGGTTTTAAGTAAAAAGAATGTACTAACTTAACAACGAATACTAAACATTTGCAGAAAAAATAATTAAAGGATATATTTAAAATCATACATACATACACGTATTTATTATACATTTATATCGAAATATAAATTCAATCTTAAATGATGCCAAATCAAATACTGCACATCACGGATCATTTCAAAGACTTTAAGGTGCTAATAGGAGTTAAATTTGTTTTATTCTTCTGAAACTTTACTAATTGTGAACAGATTATGATTATTATTATTAATAATAGTTATAAAGAGGCGCAGTTCACTGCTGTAATTTGTCTACATGCATATTATCAGAATTATATCGGATATTTGGTGGCATAATAATTAAAACCATACACCATTATAGTTAATAGAGATAAACAAGTTCATGCGTTCACCCCAATACATATACCTACATATTATAGTATGTAAAAATAAATAATAAAAAAAATAACTATAAAGAAAATAAATATTACCTCGGGGTATGATAATAGCTTAAGTTTAATTATATGTCGTAATATAATCGTATTAAGATAAAAATTACCTACCGTTTAATAACAAAGAACGCGTGGAGCCTTGTTTACAGTTGCATATGGTTTCGACGCGAGTTCGCTTTACGGAGAGCGAGACGAGACTGTAGGGCGGGCGGGCGTTTCAGAGGTAACGAGACGGATACTACTATTTGAACTAGAATTCAACTCGATTTGAACGAAAATTAAAGAATTCACTATTCTATAATATTATATATTAATATGAATATGAATTGGAGTCTCTACCCCCAATATTAAATATTTAAGTCAGTTTTTACTTTGAGATTACAAAATCTTACCACGATATCTTATTCACAGATACATTAAGAAATAGCTTATTATTAAGTTATTTATAATTTGTAAACCACTACGTTAAACATAATACTATAAATCCATAGCAATAATAGAAACATCAAAATGCGCATGTGAAGTCATTTTGTTACAAAGTAAAAATTGACCATTAGTAACGAAACATGTTTATTATTTTTACTACGGAAAGTCGCGTTATATTATTGTACGGTAAAGTGATACTCACTTAAAACTTATTTATTTACCACTATATATAAATTATTCATTGAAATGTACAACAAAAGAAACAACGAACGTGTTAACACGTACCTATCGACGAAAAAGTCGAAGAAAGTTGAAGTTGAGACACTACGTGACACAAATAAATCTTTAGGTATTCAGTAAAAATATTTTACAACAAAAATACAAAACATTTTTAATGCACTATTTTATGTAACTGAACCTCTTGGTTCCAATATCCTGGTTTCTATTTTTAAACATATTCGAAAGTATTTTTAATTCATTAATTATAATAGTACAATTACATTCAAATATGTGGTAGGGGCATTTGTAGACATAGTACGAAAAGCCCGAACGATGCAGCTTTTCTGGCTAGTTGTTTAATACTAAACAACTTCAATTAATTGTAATTTGAGTCTCATTACGCATACATATATGCATATATACCTATGTACATAACGGTGTGAGTTTAATTTAAATATTAAGCATATCGATAAATCATTTTTAGAATAGAATCGTATTTATAAAATGAATTTATTGTAAAAATAAAAACTGCAACAAAAACTGAAATACATTATTTTGTCCGTTATTTTGTGTGTATGTTACGTCATATTCTATGTCTGTAGTATAGTTTTATGTCTGTTTTCTTGTAAAAGTGTAAAATATGGACTTAAATATTTTGAGATATTTCACACAAATACAGTTTTCACTTGATTTTGTAGTTATGTCAAATTAAATCTAATTGTAATATCTTTATTCATTTAGGTTTATCATATCATCAGCATATGCCATTGCAATTCTGTCATAAGAAAATAGTCGAATCAGTAGTCATTACTCGAGCAAATGATATATGTATGTGTATACAGTATGAGTGAATATTTTTTATTTATGTGAGACTATATAGCCTTCCAAACTAGATATGATTTAACAAACACCGCAATAAACCATCCCTCAACTGCATAACCGTCAAATACACAAACTCGGCGTGCATGCAGTACAGTTATCTTCTGAAATATGAGCGTACAAAGCGAATCGATTGCAAATTCGATGCGACTCTCGCAGCCACGATAAATCTTGATTCAATAACAACGTTAACTCGA